ATGTAAAAGTCAAGTGCCCATGTGGATAAGGCTGGGAAGGAAACCAGATGGTTCCTGAGGATGCCTGGTTGCCTGTATCTCCCTAGGATGTCTGGGTAGTGGGGGAACTTCCTCTACCATGATTGCCTCTGTTATCTGGAAACAGGCAAGACTCCTTCGAAAGGCTCCAATGCCAATCCAGGCAGGAACCTGGCTTCTCCTTGAAGCCTGCTTGTCCTCAGAGCACTACCAGGACTGCTGGTTAGTAGGCCTACTGGTGAATGTGCAGTGTGCCTTGCCTGAACAGGAGGTGCAGCTCTCTTCATCTCAGCCCAAGCAGCCAGAACTGCCTTTCTTGCCCCCAAAACACTGCCATCATACAGGTGATGTACTGGTTTGAATATTTCAGGATACGTTCCTAAAACATTGTTAAAGCGGAAAAGGCCCGCCCCTTGGTGCCCCACAGTATGAGTTACATCTCGATACTTAGCTACAACAGGGACGACAGCCAGCTCTCGTTCACTGAGCACCTACTATGTGCCAAGCACAGTGTTGTGTGCTTTATGTGCATGTTCTCATTTGATCTTCAACAGCCTTTGCAAAGTCTTTTAGAACCATCTTAAAGGCAAGGCCACTGGGCCTCACAAGCATGAAGACCCCGAGCAAGATCACAAAGCTGATTACTTCCAACTATACCAGAGACTGCAAAATCAAGTGTCAATGGGGCAAGGGTGGCAGAACACAGGAGAGCACAGGCCCCAGGTCTGACTCCATCCAGATGAGCAGAGAGGCTAGAGAAGCTCACAATTTGCCATGATGGCAACCAATTCAATTAAGATTAACCAAGGTCCCTATCTATTAGAAGTATTTATAGAAGTAATAATATGATGTCTTCCATTAGTTTTTATACACTGTCAGGGGGCATATTATAATTTGAGAAATGGTGGGGCAGATACAATGAGACTGTACTGTGCAAAAGGGTAATAACTGTTAAAGCTGAAGACTGGGCTTATGGAGATTCATGTTGTTCTCTCTAAAGAAACCTAATCTACTTTATCTAGTCTATTTTCTCTTCCCTTTCCCCTTTCTTTCTTCTTTCCTTCCCAGCCTTATCCACATGGGCACTTGACTTTTACATAGTTGTAGCCATGCCTTGTGCTTCATGCACCTGATTGTATTCTGATTTCTTCCTTCTCTCTCTTTCTCCTTTCCTTCCCTTCTCCTCCCTCTCTCCCTCCCTCCC